GATCTAGGCACCCCTGCCAGAGAACAGCAATCGCAGTCTGTTTATGAGCAGCCCTAAGCCTGCTGCTTGAATAATGGAGCAGCGTCACTATATCACTATAGTCAGCATGTTTTACTGACCATATATATGTGCTGCACCAGGAGTTATTATAGCATTAGAAAACTATTTTTTAATTTACTAAAAAATACTGATTTTTCTGTTACTCAATTTTCATCCAAAGGAAAATTTAAAGAATTTTCATGTTTTAGAATCTGTTGTTGAATGTAACTTCTGCTAGTTCAAAATGCACATGTATGAATGACTTAGTTGTTAGAAACTCTGCAAGGTAATGGTATAATGTGCTAGTATGTACATTATGACATTATTGTAAGCTTACCTGTAGGTACAAGTGTCCATGCTGTGTTTACTACTGCTTTAAGTTAGTCAAAGTACAGTGTTTGTAGTGCAGTAACAAAACCGCATTCATCAACATTTAAAGCTCTTAGTCTTATTTGTGGAAACTGATCATCATTTTTGCTACCTTAATAAATAAGCCTGCACATTTTATATAGTATAAATCATGCTATTTTTTCCCCTCCCCATTTTTCAGGACCGCACCCTTGAGAGACCTCAGCTCCTCCTCACCTGAGGAAACCATACCTCCACCCAGTGCAGCCTCCTCACCCGGACCTCCATAATGGTGTTTCCTTCGGTGGGGAGACAAATTCCTGAAAGCCCTTCCAGGGTGGCCAGGGGGCTGCGTTGAGCCTGGAAGATGAGGGGGGGTTGGTGGGGTGCAAGGACCAGGTGCAGTCCGAGTGCTGTTCCCCCTCCCTCCCCCCCCCAAAGGTGGGGAGGTAGGGACCCGTTCATCATCTGGGTGCAGAGGGGGAGGAGAAAAGGTTGCTATGCGTTCGCATTTCGTCCATCCAGGGGGACCCAGAGGAGAGGTACCGCCGCTCCATGCCTGATGCCGCCAGTGGATCTTTTTTCTTGACTGGTTGACGAGGGATGTCACTTTCAGTTGAGGGGCAGGACTTCCTCCCAGGGTGCAGCTTCCGGCTTCCAGCCGCGTCCTGTGAAGTGCGGACTGGAGAAGGCTGTGCGGGGAGCTGCATCCTGCAGGGGCCACTATTATGGGCCATGTCTGGAGCAGAAGCACCGGGACCTGGTGACGCCAGCACCAGCCAGTCTCAGGTAGGTGGATCGGAGTAGCCTCTTCCCCTTCCTGTTTGACCCCTAGCTCCAGGGGGTGTCCTCGGTCCTCCTGTTGGTCGGGGTGACAGGGCAGGTGGTGGGGGGGTTCTCAGCTTAGGAGATTCCCCTGCAAGGTGCTGCATGGAAAGTGCGCGGGGGGGGGGGGGGGGATTGGCTTTGGTACAATAGGTGGCCTCTTTCTGTGTGTTCGGTCTTTAGGTAAAAAAAACAGAGAGAAGCCCAAGTCACACCGTGGGACTAAAATGAAGTGCCCCTCATGCAAGGAGACAGTCAAAGGTGACTGGTTAAGTCATTTAGCAAGCTGAAGGCCACTTTTGATTCCTTTTAGGTCCCTTGTAGAGAACTTATCTCTGCCCCAGACACAGAGCTCCCTCTATCTCCCCCCCCCCCCCTTCCCCAACAGACTGAGGCAGCGGCCCTTCAGGTTTCCCCAGCCACCAGTAGGGAAGCAGGGGGTCCAAGGGCTTAGTTGGAAGAGGAGGCTCCGTCCCTGGATTCAGATTCCCAGGCAGACTCCGAAGGGGAGGTTCCCTCTAGCAAGTCTAGAGGCACCTCTAGGTATAAATTATCTCTGGAGGAGGTCGATGACTTACTGGGAGCCATTTGTATCACCTTTGAGATTAAGCAGGACAGGAAGCCCCTCACATTGCATGATCATATGTATCCGGGTATGGGGGAACAAAAGCGTAGAGTCTTCCCAGTCCACGAGATTCTAGTAGAATCCATTAAAAAAAAAAAAAAAAAGAGTGGCAGGACCTAGAGAAAAAGCAGTTCTTTGCTAAATCTCTCACACAGGTTCCCTTATGACGAAGATTCATCCGCAGTGTGGAATAAGAGCCCCAAGCTTGATGTGGTGTTCTCCTGGGTAGCCAGAAAGACAGACCTGGCTTTTGAAGAAATGGGGATTTTGTCTGACACCATGGACAGAAGGGCAGATTCCCTTCTTAAGAAGTCCTGGGACTCCACACTATCCAACCTAAAGCCTGCCATGGCCACTACAGTGGTAGCTCGGAACATGGAATACTGGCTCACACAACTCCAGGCCCATATTGTTGCAGGTTCCCCGAAAGATAAGATACTAACCTCTTTCCGGACCTTATTACGGGGGGTTGGTTATATTGCAGATGCCGCCACAGAGTTAGTGAGGATGACGGCAAGGTCAGCGGCCCTGACTAACTCAGCCTGCAGAGCCCTGTGGCTTAAAACCTGGCAAACCAAAGTTAAACTTTGTGGCATCCCATTCACAGGGGATCTACTTTTTGGGCCTGGTCTATAAACGTTGTTTGACCGCACAGCTAACAAGAAAAAGCCCCAGGTGCAGGGTAGGAAGAAATTTTGCTCCCAAAAGCAGGTACAGGCCAATAGGCTGGGGGCAGAAGGGAAGAGGCAGGAGAGGAGTGATTTTCTGTCCTCCTTGAGTAGCCCCAAAAGTTTCAATGACAGAGTTCCCCCCCGTGGGAGGAAGATTGGGGGTCTTCCTCCCACAGTGGGAAGCGGTGTCTTCCAGCCCCTTTATCTTGGGCATAGCTAGGAAGGGGAAACTACCTAGAATTTCAGAAACCGCCACCGCAGAGGCTGTTTGCGACGGAACTCAAAAAATGTACAGAGAAAGTGTCAGCATTGCTCTCTTCCTTGCAGGAATTGGAGGAGCAGAGGGTTGTTGTCAGAGTTCCCTCCACAGAGATCGCGAGGGCTTTTATTCCCATGTCTTTGTAGTCGGGAAGCCCTCAGAGAAGTACAGGCTGATTCTGAACCTCAGACCCTTGAGCGAGTCCATAAAATACAAGAGGTTCTGGATGGATTCCATATTATCAGTCAGGTCTCTTCCCCCCCAACTTCTTTTTGGCTTCAATAGACCTAAGGGACGCCTACTTACACATCCCAATTACAGAGTCCTTTCAGAGATTCCTCAAGTTGGCCCCAGGGGAGTACTTCACCTGCAGTTCTGAGCCTTGCCCTTTGGGCTTTCCTCTTTGCCCAGGATTTTCACAAAAATCTTGGCTGAGGCCCTGGTGTCTCTTTACTGGTGGTATACCTAGACTATCTCCTGTTTGCAGATTCGGAGAAACAGCTGACAGAGGATGTAGCCTTAGTGATGAGACACCTGGAGAGTTTAGGTTGGCTGCTAACCTTAGCCAAGTCGAATTTGGTCCCTGCCGAAAGGATGGTGTACTTGGGCTATGAGCTAGATTCCACTCTTCAGAAAACCTTCTTACCCCAGGAGAAAACTTTAACGTTGGACTGGGGAAAGTGATAACGTATGCTAGTCTTTCAGGCTAGGGTGGGCGTGTGTGAGCCCTTTATGACCCAGGAACATGGTCATTGATGGATGTCAGGTTCCCCATCAAGATCCTGGAGCTCAAAGCCAAAAAGGACAGCTTTGCAACACTGGACCGCACCCACCCCACCTTTTGCAAGGACACCAAATTAGGGTGTAATCAGAAAAATTCCATGGATGTGGCCTACATCATCTGCTAAGGTGGCACCCAGAGTTATGCCACCTTGATAGACGCAAGCCAGATCATCTCATTGACAAAGACTCCCTGTCCAGTGATCCCTGCGTCCACATCCCAGGAGTGGACAACTGGAAGGCGTATTACAACAGCTGCTATCACCTGGACCAAAGGGAATCAGTATTTCACCTCTATCTTCAGTCTTATACACTATATTGCCAAAAGTATTGGGATTCCTGCCTTTACACACACATGAACTTTAATGGCATCCCAGTCTTAGGCTGTAGGGTTCAATATTGAATTGGCCCACCCTTTGCAGCTATAACCCCTTCAACTTTTCCTGTCCACAAGGTTTAGGAGTGTGTATATGGGAATGTTTGACCATTCTTCCAGAAGTGCATTTGTGAGTTCAGGCACTGTTGTTGGGCAAGAAGCCCTGGCTCAGTGTCCGCTCTACTTCATCCCAAAGGTGTTCTATCAGGTTGAGGTCAGGACTCTGTGCAGGCCAGTCAAGTTCCTCCACCCCAAACTCGCTCATCATGTCTTTATGGACCTTGCTTTGTGCACTGGCGTGCAGTCATGTTGGAACAGGAAGGGGCCATCCCCAAGCTCTTCCCACAAAGTTGGGAGCATGAAATTGTCCAAAATGTCTTGGTATGCTGACGCCTTAAGAGTTTCCTTCACTGGAACTAAGGGACCAAGCCCAACCCCTGAAAAACAATCCCCCCTCCACCAAACTTTACACGTGGCACAATGCGATCAGGCAAGTGCTGTTCTCCTGGCAATCATCAAACTCGGACACGTCCATCGGATTGCCAGACAGAGAAGCGTTATTTGTCACTCCAGAGAACACATCTCCACTGCTCTAGAGTCCAGTGGCAGCGTGCTCTACACCACGGCATCCGACGCTTTGCATTGCACTTGGTGATGTAAGGCTTGGATGTAGCTGCTCGGCCATGGAAACCCATTCCAGGAAGCTTTCTACGCACTGTTGTGCTAATCTGAAGGCCACACAAAGTTTGGAGGTCTTTAGCTATTGACTCTGCAAACAGTTGGTGACTTTGCGCACTGTGCACTTCAGCATGCGCTGACCCTGCTCTGTCATTTCACGTGGCCTACCACTTTCTGGTAGTTGCTGTTGTTTCCAGTTGCTTCTTTTCTTTAGCTATTGACTCTGCAGACAGTTGGTAACTTTTGTGCACTTCAACATGAGCTGATTTTATGTGGCCTACCACTTCGTGACTGAGTTTCTGTTGTTCCCAGTTGTATTTCACTTTGTTATAATACCACTAACAGTTGACCGTGGGGTATTAGTAGCAAGGAAGTTTCATGGATGGATTTATTTCACAGTTGGCAACTTATCACGGTACCACACTTGAATTCACTGAGCTCCTGAGAGCGACCCATTCTATCACAAATGTTTGTAGAAGTAGTCTGCATGCCTAGGTGATTGATTTTATACACCTGTGGCCATGAAGGTGATTGGAACATCTGAATCGGAGGGGTGTCCCAAAACTTTTGTCAATATAGTATATGTCAGAGATGGGGACCCTGGATGTGGATATGATTGTCCTTGACAACAAACTACCTCTGTTCGTGGCCAGGATTTTGTAGCACTGACATTGGATGCCTTGATAATCTCATTTCAGGCTACCTGGCCTTTCCTCCAGTGCGAATTCTACTTTGTCTGTTCCACAAAACAGCAAGAGAAGAAACCTGTGATTTTCATTGCACCAAAATGGCCCAAAAGAACCTGGTTCTCCGACTACTAGGAAATGCTCTCTAGCCTCTCCCCAACACACCAGACCTGCTGTCTTAGGGCCCCTCTATTCCATCCTGCTTCTCAGTCACTAGCTTTATTGGCATGACTGTTGAAGTTCAGGTCCTAAAGCAAAAGAGGGTTCTTGAGTCTAACTACCATGCTAAAATCAAGAAAAGCCACCTCCAGAAAGATACCTTATCTGGAAATCCTTTGCCTGGTGTAAACACAGGCGTTTCAATCTGAGAAACTACTCTGTGCCTCATATGTTGACCTTCCTACAATCAGGACTTGGCCTTAAACTGAAAGAAAAGTTTTCAGCCTTGTCCATTCTTTTCAAAAACCTCAAGCCTCGCTCTCCTATATCAACATTTTTTTTTTATTTTTTTTTTTTTTTAAGGTGTATCGCAGATCAGGCCCCTTTTACAGCACCCGGTGCTTCCAAGGGACCTCAGCTTGGTTCTCTCTACCATGCAGAAACCACCATTTGAATCCATCAAGTAATATCACCTTAGATTGCCTCTCCTACAAAGTAACCTTTTTGTTTCCTGTCACATTGTCCAGATGTGTCATTGAGCTGGCGGCTTTCTTGTAAGGGGCCATTCCTCATTCTGCACAAAGAAGAGAGTCTAACATCCAAAGTCAACTTTTCTTCCTAAAGTAGTATATCTTCCACCTCAATGGAGACCTAGTCCTTCCAACTATGTGCTCTGCTACAAAGCACCTAAAGGAAAGTGCTCTTCATTGCCTGGTTGTTGTCGGAGCAATTAAGATGCTTATCTCAAAGCAACAGCTTCTATCAAGAAGATTTACTCCCTATTTGTCCTATTCACAGGACCTCACAAGGGACATCCTGCTTCCAAGTACACAATTGCCTAATGGATAAGCAAACTCATTGCTAGAGCTTCTGAAGGACAAAACTCCTTCTGCTCTTTTACTCTTCCAGGATGGTGGATGTTTCCTGGACATTCCAACACAAGCCTATGTAGCCCAGCTTTGTAAGGCCCACCACCTGGTCCTTTATTCATACCTTTTTTTCGAAAATATTTCCAGATGGACATCCAATCTTCTGTGGATGTACAGTGCTTTGAAAAAGTATTTGTCCCCTTCCTGATTTTTTTTACTTAGTTGTCACACTTCAATGATTCACATCATCAAACAAATGTAATATTACACAAGGATAACCTGAGTAAATACAAAATGCAGTTTTAAATGATGATTTAATTAAGTGAAAAAAGCTGTCCAAACCTGCCTGGCATTATGTGAAAATAATTGTGATTACCCAAATTTTTTGGAAAGTGGAGTTAAATTTCACTTGCCATACCTAGGCCTGATTACTGCCAAACTTGTTGAATAAAGAAATCCTTTAAATAAAAGCTGTCTGACAAAGTAAAGCACGCTAAAACATCTCAAAAAGCAACATATCGTGCCACGATCCAAAGAAATTCAAGATGATTCTACAGATGAGAAACAAAGTAATAGACGTGTATCGGCCTGGAATGGGTTACAAAGCCATTTGCAAGGCTTTGGGACTCCAGCGAAACCAAAAACTTGGAACAGCGGTGAACCTTCCCAGGAATGGTCAGCCTACCAAGATTACTCCAAGAGCACAAGGTCGACTCATCCAGGAGGTCATAAAAGTACCCAGAACAGCATTTAAAGATCTGCAGGCCTTGCTTGCCTTAGTTAAGGTCAGTGTTCATGATTCAACAATAAGAAAAATACTGGGCAAAAATGGCATCCATGGGAGAGTTTTTCCAAGGTGAAAGCCACTACTGACCAAAAAGAATACAAAGGCTCATTTCTCATTTGCCAAAAAATATCTTGATTATCCCCAAGACTTTTGGGCAAATATTCTGTGAACCGATGAGACAAAAGGTGAACTTTTGGAAAGTGTGGGTCCTGTTACATGTGGTGTAAATCTAATACAGCATTTCATGAAAAGAACACCATACCAGCAATCAAACGTGGTAGTGTGATGGTCCGGGGCTGCTTTGCAGCTTTAGGACCTGGGTGACTTGCCATATTTGATTGGAACCATGAATACTGCGCTCTACCAGAAAATCTTGAAGGAGAATGTCATCCGTTTGTAACCTCAAGCTCACTTGGGATATGCAGCAGGGGGTTTAGGGGGTAATTACTTTTTCACATAGGGCCAGGCAGGTTTGGTCCACTTTTTTCCCTTTTTAATAAATTAAATCAGTTAAAAACTGCAAACATTTGAAGGGGGCAAATCATTTTTCACAGCATTGCAGCTTTCGCCTGCAAGGTTCTTACAGCAGCACTGTTGACCATTGTTTTTGGAGCCTGTTGGCGCAGTTTGCCTAGTTGTCACCCACCCTTTTAATTCATTGATTAGGGATGCCCCAGGTTCTATGAATACTTGGCCTGTGTTCTGTATAATTAGAATTTTGATTTGCCTGTAAATTCCATATCTTGCAGTATAGTATAAGACACAGGATACCCTCCCATATGTTTCTTGGTTACTCTGCATTGCTTGCTACAAAACTGGGGACTTAGAGCGGGTCAAGGTACTAAGGGAGGGGGGGGGTGGGGTTGGGTTTTCTCAAAAGCTTTGCTAGTGTCTATGGGGTCTATGAATACTCTGCCTGTGTTCCATATTCTACTCTAAGACATGGAATTTACAAGCAAGTCAAAATTCCTCTTTATATTGATTTCGTTTGTGATTTGCGTATGAATCAAAGCAATGAACAATTTTCTGATACATGTTGTACTCCTGAAGAATCTGCAAATGTGGAGAAACATGTTAGGCTGGTTATATGGTTTTATCAGTTAGAATGGTGTTGCAAACTTAAGAAAAATTATTCAGGAAAAGAGCTACAGGATAATTTTAAATATCATATGGACTATATGGTATAATGTGTGCAGAAGAGAAAAATAATGCTGCAGATATACCTAATTGCTTTACACATTTTTTTTTTCATGGTTTGCAACATACTGTACTTTTACTCAACAGAAGGAAAATACAGGTCACTCAAGATGGAATTCTCCTTGCCTCCCTCCACATATGCTACAATGGCCATCAGAGAAGTACTGAAAATGGACACCAGCATCAAGAATCAGACTCAGCTTAACACAGTGTGGCTGCGATAGGCATATTCTGTGACCTCTCCCATTGTATATCAGCAGCATTTTATGCTATATTATTTTATGAAATACTTTTTTTTTTTTTTTTTTTACCCCACAAAGGGAAAAGAAAAAAAGGTATAAAACATTTTAACATGGAGGTTTTACATTTCTGTTTATAGATTGATTTGAAATAGTTACTTTTTTCCAGTGAGCTGCAACTCTACTATTGGCAAACAAATTTGAATCTGCGTAATCATCATGTTCTACCTAGTAATATGGCACAAGGTTAAATCAGAATTAATATGATTTAGGCTGAAGGTTAGGGGTTTTTTTTTACTGCCTAACTGATCAGTCTGCCTTCTTTCTGCTAGTCCCCTCTCCTTTTTGTATAGTATTGTGGTTTAAGAAAAAGCATAGTGGAGGGGTATTTTGCCTCTGCCTGACGCTAAAGTGAAATTTGATGACAGGTGTATTTATCAACTAGCTGATGATTTATTTAGTAATTAAAATAATTTGTGTGATATTAGATATTACCACTTTGGAGGCGTATGATTCATACACTAAACTTTCTATTACTGGGCACCTTTTTGTATCATTACACGGAAATGTTATAGGCCATCTAATCAGCCTAAATTATTAAAATGCCTAGTTGTACATATATGTAGATATATTTGTGGAAATAATTCATTTGAGATGGCAAAACTGATCTTTGAGTTATGACACAGGCCAAATACTTTCCATAAGATTTTGTTATGTGATATACAGTCGGATCATTTTTGATTGTTTATCAAAATCCAAAAAGCATTCACTTTTTCCACAATGTTTGTGTTTACTTTCACTCATTAACTTATCCTGTAACAAAGCACGTAGCAATGCTTCTGAAGAAAGGAGTGCTTAGAATCGCTGCATGAGCTTCAAACAAGTGTTTCAAATATGCTTTCATTTTCAGTTCATATGTGTACTCTGGATTTTCCTGCATCTGTTCAAAGTGTGCCTCATGATGTCCAGGTAAGAACCAGTGCAACTCCGCTACATATCAGACAAGGAAGCCGTTGACTGTTATTGTACAGGCAGTTCACATATGAACAGACAAAGTCAAAGAAGCCTACATGCCCAAATTTAGTGCATGTTGTGTTTGAGATTATAACCTGCCTGTATACTATGCATTTACTGTGACATGCAGCTGGCTACTGTATGTTTGTTTTGTTTTTTTTAATCTTGCATTTAATAAACCTACGGATAACCTCTTCAACTGTTGCACAATAATTACATGTGCTATCCAAGGATTTATTATCATGTAAAGCCATTATAAATATGTGTTAATCTGTTTCTGTTCTGATTTTTAGAACTGTTACTACGCATTTTGTTTTTTAAATAAACAAGAGTGGTAAAAAGCAAAACTCAGTGTCATTAGTTCTGTAACTGTTAGGGCAAATAAAAAGTATCATATATGCAACTGTGTTGTTATAAGTGCACAAATGCAGCTACAATTACCTCACACATTTATTGGGACATATTTGAAAGCATATCTGAATCCAATAACAAAAATGTAATACATTGCAGCTTACCATTGTTTTTTGGTATGGTGGCTCCATTTCTTTACTCATTAATGCAATAAAGGACAAAGTGAAAATGGGTAGTGTTAACCTCTCGGTTATAGTGCCACATACAGTAGGACACTATGTACAACACAGAAAAAG